ACACACACACACACACACACACACACACACACACACACACACACACAAACCAATCAGTCCATCAGTGTAAAAGTAGTAACGCAAAGGCATATAACTGAAAGAGACTATTAAAAACTTGTACCAAAGAAACCTTGTCTCAAAAAAACAAAAAACAAAAAAAAAAAAAAACCAAAAACACTTGTACCAAGCTGAGAGCAGTTAGCAGGTTTCTCTGGGTAAAGTCTTTCCATAAAACTGAGCCAAAAGAAAACTGACAAAGTTTTGAATTTGAAATAAAAATTCCCAAACTGGAACTGAGGAGATAGCTCAGTTGGTAAAGTGTTTGCTATGCAAATATAAGATGGACCTGAGTTGCCAGCACCCAGATTAAAAAGCCAAGCAGAGTCATATGTATCTGTAGTCACTGCACTGGCAAAGATTGCTGACCAGCTAGTCTAGCCAAATCAGTGAGCTCAGGTTCAATGAGAGACCATATCTCAAAAAGTAAGTGGAATGTAATCAAGGAAGACATGCAACCTCTGACCCCCACAAACAGGTGCATACATGTATGTGTACAAACACACCTACACTCACAAATCCCAATGCTGCAAACACAAATTATACAACTTCTGGTTGTAGTGTATGACACAAATCCCAAGTGACTACCACAAAGGGGACCAGCAAGGTGGTTGAGCTGGGTAAGAACATATGTGTATATATGACATGATCTATATATGTCACACTCACAAACTAGGTTGTAGTAGTGCACGCCTTTAGTCCCAGCAGATGATCTCTGAGTTCAAGGCCAGCCTGGTCTACATGGCAAGTTCTAGGCCATCTAAGGCTAAATATTAAGACTCTGTCTCAAAAACACAAAAATAAAAACATTTAAAAGACCACAAAGATGGTACCACTCTATCAAACTGATTGAAAATGTGGAGAGTAACCCGAGCATTGACAAGCAGGGCACTCCCACGGAGCTGGGAGAGAACATTCACATATTTTAGAGGACAATATGGAAACAGCTATAAAAATCTACAATTATTCACACCTTTTCTACTTCTTTGATTACAGCTTGAATAAGAGGAGTCCAGGCTGTGGTCATAAGGCTCACCACTTTACATGAGACCAGTGGACGCAGCACAGGCACTGACCATGTGAGCACTGCTCAGCGCAGCTGCATGAGCCTGACACCTAACCATGGGGGCTGGCACTAGCTTCCTTCCCATCAGGAAGAGCACACTCACACTGAAGGGCAACTATTTTGCTATTTTACATTAGGGAAGAATTTGACTATCGTTCAGTAATAAAAGTCTGGGCAGGAATCACAGGGGCATTCAACACCCTGGGCAATAGCTACTAAGGTTAATCCCAAGACAGGGGTTAGTCCTTCAGAGGCAGAGGAGACGCAAGGAAGAAAGGGAGACAAAGGAGGGATGTTGAACAGAAGGGGTAAAAGGGAATCCAGAGGAGCCCAGCAGAAGACAGGGGAAAAGGAAATCTACAACCTACAGCTACCCACAGCACCAAGGACCAGAGAACACAAACAGAATAGAGTCAGAATATGCAACAGTACTGAGCTATTCAGGGGAAGTTGATGAATAAGAAAACCTTCACAGCGACTGTTAAGTAGAAAAGGTCACTGAGCCAGTAAGTGCACATGTGATGCCAATGCTGCTTCAACCAAGTTCCATGAATGGGGGCGGTGTGTGTGTGGAACGCAAGTGCATGAACACAGGAACAGCACGTCATGTACTGGATCTAACCATAAAGACCCAGCACAAGGACTGGATGTAAGGACTGCCAGCAAGAACTCCTACCTAGGTCCCCACGTAAGGCACACGTGGCTGTAGAGCTCTTCCCTTGGGATGCTGTCACTCCTCAGCCACCCTCTGGACCCATGGGCTCTGAGCCACATACAGCTTTCCATCCTGCTCCAAAAATCGAATCCTGTCAGTCAATCTCAGCCCTTAAACACTCCCAGTGCCATCTGACTTGCTTTTTGGTTTTTGGACTCTGAACATTCTCTTCCTGGCCCAACCCTATAGCATCTTTAGAGTCAACATGAGAAAGCTGAGGTCCTTTCCAACACGTATCCAACTAGACATTCAGCTGTATGTGCTATTCAAAAATCACTTCTGAGTATTGTTTTAATCTTAAATCTCAACTCAATCTCCACATTCTAAAACTTTGCTTCCGTTGTAAAATATTCTCTCAGGTGGCACACATATAAGGGCTCCTCCCACACAGGAGGTTCAAACTCCCTCCCAGGAGAGCTCTTTCACCTCACCCTCAGACCACTGACATGGTTGTAGCCAATCAACCAGATCCAGCCAGCTGACAATGATAAAAATCAGTTCTCAAAACCCACTCTCCAAGAGCTCCATTTACTGTGTCATCATCCACTGCTCACTGAAGGCGATGAAGCGCACAGCTTACAGATGAACAGCCTTCATTCCTAAAGGCTATCAGACTACAGTTCAGAGCCAATTCTGACTGTTCCTTCAGTTTCCTTCTCATTAGATCATCTGTGAAACTGTAATTCGCTGTGAAGAGACAACAGAGAAATTCCTTTTCTGTTCTACCATTAGATGTGTTTAAACTTATCAATTAATTGTATTACATACTCTTATTTAAGAATGCTGAAGAGGAGACTAAGTGCCCCAGGAACGGGTGGGACAGACAGCAGCAGAAACTACTCAGGTACTCTCTGCATTACTTACTTAAAGAGATTTCTCGGGCTATCATGTGAAAGGAAAGAGGATGGTAAACTAACCACAACAGACTTACAGACACTCAGGTTCTTCCGAGTGGAGGTGGTACCGATGACTGCCTTCAGTGAGAGGCTGGGTGGGTGGTGGCAGGTCAGCGGGGCTCATGGCAGCAGGGCTACCCAGGAAGCTGCGTTTGGTTGCATTGGAGATCGGGACAGGAGGTCGGCTGCTCTTCTGCTGTAACACTGTTTTAGCTACAGAAATAGCAATTTTATACAAATATCTATTATTTATAGTTATAAGTCAGTAAGAAACACTGAATCTATAGCTTTTAGAACCATGAAAACAATTCAACTTTTACTTGAAACCAAACTTCTCAACAGGTGAGGCTCTAGATTGACTTACGAATACAAAATTTAAAAATAACACAGATTAGAACACAGACAGACAGAAAAAGCAAGCCTGGACTACAGGTCTGCACAAGCACTGACACATAGGCCACCTTGATCTTCACAGACAGATGGGCTGCCTCAATCCTTTGAGCTCTCAAGAAAATGGCTATGACCATTTGTGTTACTCACCATCCTTCAGCTCTTGAATATCTCGGGGCTGAACAAAATCTGGTTTGACATTCTCAAACCACCAGAAGAGCTCGGCGATAAAAACCATAACGTTCGGCTAAAACAAAACACACAACAACCCAGGCACAGTAAGTACCTGCTCAAAGGCAGCTGGCTTTAAGTGGATGTCTGATGGCAGGTTTACCTTCAGCACTAGGGGAGCGTACAGCATATCCTCCAGGGTGAGATAGAAACACTTGTTCAGATGCTCGTTGGAAAACTCCCTCAGAAGCCGGATGTTATACAGGCTGTCAGCCATCGATGGCACCTCCTTCAGGCAAATATCTAGTAGATACAGACAGGCAGACTGTTATGACATGCATATTGTGCTCACAAGGGTGTGTGCAGATATACCATTCTGAAATGAAACTCTACGTGCAAGAGTTGGTAATAAAGGAAGTAAGATTACGAGATTTAAAAAGACAGTAAGTTTCACAGGTGACACTAAAAGGAGAAATAAAATATGGAAAGTCTCCAGACTCTGCATTTACAACATAGACCATATGAGAGTTCAAGGCTAAAGTGAACAGTGCTGGGCTGCAACTAGAGTTTAGTATCGGAGCGCTTGCCTAACATGTGCAAGGCACGAAAGCAGGCAGATGAGCAAAATGAAGTGGAATCACCTTTTGGAAATATTTGTGTTCTGGGTCCACAAGATGGCTCAATGGGTAAAGGCTTTTGCCCTGCAAGCCCAACAACCTAAGTTCAATCCCCAGGACTCACATAAAGGTAGGAAAAAACAGCCAGGTGATGGTGGTGCACATTTTTAATCCCAAAAAGAAAAGGCAGACAGATCTGAGGAGTTCAGGCCAGCCTAGTCTACTGAACAACTTCCAGGATAGTTAAGGGTATACAGAGAAACCCTGTCTCAAAAAAAAAAAAAGAGTAAGAGAAAATCATCTCCAAAATGATATCCTTTCACATCCACATTTGTGCCAATGCTCACATGTATACAATACGCATGCATACACAGTAATATTAAAATAAACATAAGGAAATGTTTGCATTTTTTTCAGCAAGCAGAGACCTTTGCCTAAAGTTAATTTCATATATGCAAAGGGCAGGATCTGGAATATGCACGAAATCACAACTGTCAAGCAAGGTTTCTAATCCTCCAAATCAAGAAACTGCACCTAGTACAAGCCTCCTCTGTGAAGAGGTAAGGATCTTCGAAACCTACCAGGTAAAAAAATTCACGAGAGTGGATCTTCCACTGGGAAATGCAGTGCGAGCAGTAAATAGACCCCTGAAAAGGGGCCTCTGGTGTTTGTCCAGACGCTCCTTAGCAGGAGCCAGTCAACAGCACATCTAAGATCATGAGACAGATGCACCAAGGCTTTGCCTCTGAATGTTCCGCCTTTAAAAAAGAGGAACCAGGAGGGTGGTGTACACCTTTAATCCCAGCACTCAGAGGCAGAGGCTGGTAGATCTTTGAGTTCAAGGCCAGCCTGTTCTCCAGAGTGAGTTTCAAGACAGCTAGAGCTTGTTACACAGAGAATCCTTGTCTCGAAAAATCAAAAAGAAAATGAAAAGAAAAAAAGGAGAGAGGCAGAGGGGCACTTGTTCAGCATGCTCAAGTACCAAAATGGGGGAGGGGGATTCTTTTTCAAAGACCTCAAACGCTATTTCCAGTCTAGGACATTAGTCCAAGAGCAGGGTGGTGTAGGAAGCCGCGCATGCGCTGGCTAAAGCCGTGTTTGCCTGACATCCGGGATTTTTCCTGGTGAATAGGTGAATTGCGCATGTGCCATGGAAAAGGCCTGCCAAAGTTAAAGCCCATCCCACGGCGTTTGGCACGCTAAGAGTAAGCAGCCAATCAGAGGTGAATGCACCGCTCCAAGGGTATATTAAGCAGTGCTTTTCCTGGGCCTGGCGTCTTCTTCCACCATTTTGTATTTGGGAATAAACGTGTTTTTACGGAAGGATTCTGGTGTGTGTGTGTGGTGCGTTCTTGCTGGCGAGACGATTACATGCGCGCCTCACAGGGTGGGTCCATACCGAGTAAGGAAGGGTCATCTGATCATGGGCCACTGCTTGCCACCACTCCTGACTGCCCAGTCCTTCCCTGCCCTCTAGAATATGTGGCCCTCAACACACAGCTCTGACTGAACGTCTATTTTTCCATGGCTCCTGTACCCCTGCACCAAATGACTGCCCTGGGCCAATGCCACAGTTTCAGCTAGTATATCGTTTGTTTTTTGTTTTTTTTTGGTTTTTAGAGGCAGGGTTTCTCTGTGTAGCCCTGGCTGTCCTAGAACTCACTCTATAGACCAGGCTGGCCTCAAACTCAGAAATCCACCTGCCTCTGCCTCCCAAGTGCTGGGATTAAAGGCGTGAGCCACCACCGCCCGGCTAGTATATAGTTTTGTTTTGTTTTTTGTTTGGTTGGTTTCGGTTTTGTTTTATTTGTTTTTTGGTTTTTTCAAGACAGGGTTTCTCTGTGCAGCCCTGGCTGTCCTGGAACTCACTCTGTAGACCAGACTGGCCTCGAACTCAGAAATCCGCCTGCCTCTGCCTCCCAAGTGCTGGGATTAAAGGCGTGAGCCACCACTGCCTGGCTAGCTAGTATACAGTTAAACAAAATTTAACATTTATAACACAAGGGCCCCATGTTCTTTAAATAAATACATACATACATACATACATACATACATACATGCAGCTAAAATCTATGAAAACTAAGCATCAAGTACAATTCTGATGAGAGAAACAGAATCAGACATAGGCTACCAGGTGATAAGATTGTAATGTGAGTTCAATCTGTCAATCAACAAACACACATTGGCAGGAAGAAGACAAAGCTACCCCTGCCCAATGCCAGTTAGGAAACAACAAACAAGAATGAAGCAGAACACCCAGTAATGAAAATCAATGAGGAAGCAGATGACAACTGAAGTCTACAGCTCTCTCCCCAGGAGTCATCACAAAGTATGAATCCTGTCTCTTAAGTGGTCTTAAGAGGCCACCACACAGCACCTCGACCACGAACACAGTAGACACAGATGCTAGGACACACAGTGTTGTCTTAGGCAGACATGTCATAAGGAAACACCAAACCAACCAATCACCAACCAAGGGACAACAGACCAACTCCATAGCCTAAAAATCAAGCATGGCAAAGGCTGGGTGGACATTGTGGCTTTAAGGAAACCGCAAGACTCGACAACTACAAATGGTGAATAAGGGGTGAAAAGACCTTCCTGGACCTTCCCTGAGCCCTGCATACAGCAGCACTGCCAAGCCTCTGGTTCCTAAGCTACTCCAAAGACAAAGTGAGAAAGGATCACCCTGAGAAGGCTAGACTAAAAAACAAATTCTCTGCCTATCTGCTACATACCTGCCAAAGTACAACGTTACAATTTTGCCCTTATATTGCCTTATCAATCTTGGTAAAAACAAAAGTATTTACTGGCCTGGTAATATATTTACAAAGTTATTATTTTAGTGATACTGACTCTCTCTACATGTAAGAATGGGAAGCCTCTTCCAAGAACTACAGAAATGTTTATGACTCTTCTTCTTCTTCTTTTTTTTTTGCAGTTTTAAGCTTTTTATATATTAACATTTTCTTTTCACATTCTGTTTTGCTGACGAGATTACCTGGCTCTCCCCAAGCTGCGGTCCACATGAGACTCATGTACTGCACACTGGGCTAGCACCACCAAGGCTCCTCCTCGTTCAAAGTTTGGTAAAATGCCCCAGCACAAAGTTCCTACAAGAAGTCAGTCCATGAGTCCCCCTGTCTAGTCACCCTACAGGACACAAAGTACAACTCCTGGTCTTATTTTGGTCCACATCTGTGACAGCCTGGGGACCACACCTACCACCAGGTAAAATTACATCACTGGCAGGTCAAGAATGATACCTCCTGAGGCAGCTGTGTAAAAGCAGATGCAATAGTTAGATTCTTTTCTTCCAACATTTTACACAAGATTTCAATCTGTGCTAACAAGGCAAGCCAGCCTTAACTGTCATCTGGGGATCTCCTTCCAATGTGTCAGGGATAATCCTCTTATTTAAAGACTAGACAAATTCCATCTTCCCTAGCCTCTGGCACAGTTTATAAACCATACAAACTGTCAATTCCTTCAAAGTTTGGTAAAATGCCCCAGCACAAAGTTCCTACAAGAAGTCAGCCCATGAGGATGTACTTCCCCATGCCGGAGTAGTCCGCCTTGTACTTAGGAGTCTCTAGCTCTCCCATTCCTTTTTCTTCAACACAGAACTATCGGTGTTATATAACATGTGAACATATTTGGTGTCTACTAGACCTGAATTTATACCATTTTGTTTTCTGCTTTATTTTCCCCCAAGACAGGGTTTTCTCTTCCACCACAGTCCTTCAGTTGGACACATCCAGTGGACTCCTGAAATTTGGCTATGCTCACCGAAGGGGCATCTACACCTTCCTTGGGTAAATCATCTATTTTCTCTGTCCACTCGTCCTATATTGATTTCATTTTTCTAGTTTTTCCTTTACTTCCTTTGCTCTTCTTGGTTCTATTTTCTAGAAGATTCTTTTTTTTTTTTTCTACTCAGCCATCTAACTCTTTAGGACACTCTTACACTTCAGATACCAAAATGCCCACTATCTCAGAGCTCTATGGAACCTAACGTGGACATACTGTATAACAGTTTTTTTAAATGCCTCTTTCCAGTCACCGTTCTTGGCAACTAGGTCCCCAGTCTCTTGCTGTTGTGTATTCTGTGGCCTGAGTATTTGTTATGGCCAGGGGATTTCCTCAAATGTCGGGGATCTGGGCACCCTTAGAGGGAGGTATTAGGAAGTGTTTTTTTCTGTAGGTGACCAAGGCAAGAAGCCAGCTGATGCAAAATGTCAGCTGCCATGGATCTTGTCCTTAAGACCAGTTTCTACAGAGAAGACCCTGTCTCTTCTTTGCATGTGAAGCATATTAACCTTATGGAACCCGGCAAAGAATTGAGGCCTACTAGTATAGGACAAAGAAGGTCACACAAAAGCCTTGATTCTGGTCACCTCACTCCTACCTGCCCTAGGCTGGAGTCTGAGGCTTGGTCTCTCCCCAGGGTGTTCATATGCCTTGTTCTTGGACATGGAGGATGTCACTAGAAGCAAAGGGATTCCCACAGAATTCTCACAGCTCTTGAGACTGACTTACTGAGACACACCTAGCATGACTGCTGACCAAAATCCTTCTGTCTTTCTGTGGCAGCTCCAGAATTCTAGAACCATTTGGCTTCTGTACTTCTATTTTACTTCTTGGCTAGACAGCTTGTCAGAGCCTGGGTCTTACAATTCAGTCACTTGCTCTACAGACACAGTCACAAAACTTCATTTTTCCTCCCTTTACTTTTCTCTGGGATTGTGTCCTTTTTTTAAGCCACTGCAATGAATCTAATTCGTTAATTCCCAAGCTCCTTGCTTTCCGACATACATATGTAAGGCGTTCACCTCCCTTACAGCACGCTTCAGGGTGTGTCCTATACAGTTCTGGCCATTGTTCACTGGCTCAATACCTAGTCCACATTGGTTTGTCCTACATATTACTTTAAATGGTTGTAACATATCAGTGAAAACAAGTAAAAAGCTCCCACTCTTAGAGACCTTACCCACCAGCTGACTTCTCTTATGAGGAAGTGTGGAAGAAATCATGCCTTTGTGACTGACTTTTAATGTCCTGAACTTGCGGGAACATATACTTTGGGATCTGGTGTAGTCTCTGTTGTGGCTTTGACCAAGTTTTTTGTTGCTGTTGTTTGTTCTTTACTATGTGGCCCTGACTGGCCTGGACCTTGCTTTGTAAACCAGTATGTCCTTGAACTCAAAGTTCCACCTATCTCCATCTCCTGAGAGAGTATGTGTGTTGGCGGGGGGAGGGGGGGTTGGGGGGGTGCATGACACTAAAGGTGTGTGCCATAGCACTAACATCATTTTTTGCAAATGTCTGTGTACATGAAGACCAAGGAACAACTTGCAGGAATCAGTTCTGTCCTTCTACCTATAGGTTCTGAAACTGAACTCAGGTCATCAAGCTTGGTAGCAAGCACTTTCACCCCCTGGCCCATCTTGTTAGCCATGACCATTTATTTTTATTCAGTGTACTACAATATCTGGTATACTAAATGCAGCCTGCCAAGTTTGTATTCAAGTTTTCTATGGCTGACTAAATTCCTGTTTCTTGCAACATGACTTGTCAACTTCTTCACATAATTCTGTCATTTTTTTCAATCAGGATGTTATCCCCAATATTACTGTCTGCCTTAAGATCCTCAAAGGACAGATTTAAAAGCAAGCTACAGACCAGATATGGTGGCATATGCCTTTAATCCCAGCACTCGAGAGGAAGAAGCAAGAGGATCTCTATGAGTTTCAGGCCAGCCTGGTCTACATATTGAGTTCCAGGACAGCAAGGGCTATGGAGAGAGAACCTGTCTCAAAAACAAACAAACATGCAAACAAAGCAGGCCGTATCTGGAGCTGAGGGAAAACTGAGAAAGTACACTGGCAGCAGAGTGCAGAGCTGGCAAAGCACAATGGACAGTGGTGCACATCTCTGAGCTCAGTCCTCCAGAGGCTGAGGCAGCAGAGTAGCCAAGAGCAGTCAGTGTAGAACACCTACAGCTCCAGGTCAGTTTGAGCTACAGTGAAAGGAAAGGCCCACAACTCTGGGATAAAGTGCCTCTCTACTCTCCTCCTTACAGCTTCTATGTCTTCTATTTCACAGTCCTTCAGGACTGTAAGCATCTGCGTTCTCTTCCACCTGCTGTGAAATCGGGGGTTCCACGGAGCATGTTTCCTTGGAAATTGTGGTTTCTGGAGGTATTCCCACCAGCAGAGCTCTGGAGTTCCTACAGGGCCAGAGTGTCACTAGCACTAGACCAGTTTTACTTTTCAGTTTGGGGCAGAAACCTAGTGCTGCTTGTATGCTAGGCAAGCCTTCTATTACTGAGTTATATCTCCAGACATACAACATTTCTTTTTTTGTGTGATGCTGGAGATAGAGCCAAGCACTCAGTCAGGCTAAGGAATTATCTATACTGAATTATTTCCCCAGAGTTGTCTTTTGTTTTGTTTTGTGGAGCTGGCCTCCCTCTCACTCACTTCCTCTTAGCCCTCAGAGGCATGGGTATTTGAGAAACCTCCTGGTATAAGATAAGGCTTTTCTGATACTCTTCCCCATGTCCTAGTCATAGGACCAAGGCCAGCTGAATGTGAGGGAGCCATTTGTCCACCTGCAGGTTTTATCCTCCTGGAACCTGGGGGCATCTCCCTGTCTTTCAAGCCACCTGTGTCTGTAAAAAAAGAAAATGTATTATCTACACTTCTGTGCCTGGAGTAGGCATTAATACCAGCCTAAGCTGTCCAGTGCTAAAGTCTGAGGTCCCTGGCCCTCTACCTGCCCACTCCAGACAAAAGTCACTTAGGAAATAGAGCCATGGGTAATTCAAGCTTCATAATACCCTGGCAGGTCTGTGCCGTGCCCTTCATAGCCATCCACTTTCCTCCTCCCTGGTGCAGGTCACCAGCACCTAGAAAGACGTACTGTGGCATCAGAACAGTGCTCCATCAGGCCATGGCAGGACACGGACTGAATCGAGCATTCATTCTCATGTCTTCAGAAAGTTCTACAGAATTGTTTAGCTTTTGGCTTGTAACAAGGGGTCTCATTTAGGTAGCCCAGGCTTGTCTTGGTCCTAACTCAGCCTACCAAATACCAGGGTTATATGTGCGTGCCACCCTGTCTAGCTTAGGTTCTAGATGTTTCAATAAGGAAGGATTTTAAACGCCACTCACACTCAAAGGTCACAAAACACAATGACATATTACGCAAATACTCAATGGGAAATGTCTTTATCACATAAGATAGATTACAAATGTGTATTTGGTCTCTTGGAATTTCTAGGTATGTGGTAGTATCCCAACTGACACAGGGACTCCATGCTACTTCTCTTGCATGTTAAATGCACACTGCTCCCTCTCAGTTCTGTTCAGGGAAAGTGTTCTGCACTCACCATCCAGTTTCATCTGCTCTGGGCAATAATAGTGAACCACTGCTAAAAGAGCAGCGCCATCACTGCCGTCTCTCATCAAGTCCTCCAACAACGGGAAGTAGGGTGACTGCCTAGCAGAGAGGTGCTCTCGCCGATAGCGGACCTGCAGTTGATAAAAGGAAAATAGTCTCTGCGTGTGAGATCGCTTCACCCTGTGTTACAGGCACACTGCTAGAGCAAGGTTTACATGAAGCCTAGAGCCACATAAAGACCAACTGTTACTGCCTGGAAAAGTTCAGACTGTGCAGATGATGTCCTCTGTCCAAAACAAACAAGGCAGATCCAGGGACTGGGTTCCATGGTTACACTGGATGGCAGAGATTCACTGCTAATACCACCAGGGCCAGTCTAACTCTAAACTGACTCTGGCAGTTGGCACACATAGGAAGGAGACAAAACACATATCTATACTATCATAAGCCAATGCATTACAAACTAATGAGAAACAAGTTAAACAGTGGGCATTCAGATGCTTGAAAGACCCAAGCTACAGATACTGTTCTAAGTATTATCAACATTAACACTGATCATTAAGAAGTACAAAATAGCATTAATTGATAGTTTGAGAAATTTTAGAAACCAGATTAAACAAAATTTCTCACACCATTACACCAGCCTCCAAGAACTACAAGTGAAACATCAGGACTAAACTCACAAGATCATCAAGCAAATGCCAGGCCAAGGCTCCCTTATGTGCACACCCGAGGAAACTACCTGTCAATATTCTATACACTACAGTCCATCCATGCCTTTCTATCCATGGTCAGTGAAAGCTTAGCAGAGAGGGGGCTGCTCAGTGTAGACACAACTCCTTAAGAGCTGCAGTGTACCGCTCTCACCTCAATCAGTGCCCAGGGCAGGGCCTACTAGCCCACATTTTCTCCAGAAGGAGCACATATACTAGAAACTAAAAACAAGGGAGCCAGCACCTGCCTAGAACAAGAACTGTTGGTTTCTGAGAGTTCTGCAAGGGAGTCCAACTCAATGAATCATCTTGGAATCTAGACTTTCAGCTAATACTTCCATAAATATTTGGCGTAATCAGTAGTGATGCTGAATAGTCCAACACACATTTTAACTTGTTTCTCAGAGCCCACAACACATACTATCATAGGGAACCCGCCTCATACTGTACCACACGTGCAAAGTCCACAGGTTCCAGCATGCAGTGCATCACAGCATGCTCCAGGCCAGGCTTTCAGAGACAGCAGACAGGGAGTGAGCAGGCATGCAGTAAAGCAAATGGTTTCTTGAGTAAAGATGGATGGCATGGGTAAAAATTAGGCTGACATTAAACTACAGGAGCCCAGAAGGCTCACATGGCTGCTGTGCTCACCCACATCTTCAAAGCTGTGAAATGTTTAGGTAGAGCCCATAACCTATAGATCTTGACCACACATTTTCTTGTTGATCTATTTACTGAACACCACTGCAGGATACCCATAACCTCTCTAACAGAAGAAAGTTAAAGGGGATTGTTTTGGAGTATAGTTCTCTTTTTTCATCAATCTTATCTGAAATCAGACCTCTCTACAGGATACCTGAGTGTGTGTGCCCTTGCCTTGGTCAAATTCAGTACTCAAACATTCATTAAGCATGCCTTCCTCCTCTTTCTTACAAACACTTAGCAAGAAGTGCACTCAAGATTTACATGAGCCTTTTGCAGTCCATAGCCATGGGGTCCCAGGTGGGGACCCAAAGGAAAATCTTGGCCAAATAATGAAGCTACAGGACCCAAGCAATCAAACGGCACATACAAAACCATCTGCAAAGAGATCCAAAAGGTCACACGAAAAGGCACCACTTGGCACAAGGCATTTCCTATAAGGGCAGCAACAAACTGGTCCACTTCCTGAATGGACCACCAGTTAGGTACTGCTGAAAATACTAAACCAAATTCTGGTTTTTTTAACTTTGTGTGAAATTTATACGAAATTTCAGAAGCCCTGCATTTGAAGTGACCTAACTCAGACTGCAGAATCTGAGCTGACCTCCATATAGACCTGAGGGACAGAAACAAGGAGACCACATCAAAATATGCTAGCGGCAGCCCTCTCAGCAGTCCACCTGCACCCTCAGTAGGAGAACACCTTTCCAACCTGACAGCCTAGAATACAGGTTCTATGGAAGGAGGTGAGAGACACCACCCCTCAAGCAAAGTAACAGCAGAAAGAAAAGGCCATAGAATGATTCCAGTCACTAGGTCACCCCAGTCCTCTTGGCATCTGCTAGGAAAGACAGTGTCATGTCTGTCAGCCGCACTGTACTGGTCACTTAGAGATCACTAAGAGCCTAGGGGAATGGACATGGCACCCCAAAGTACCACATAAGAAAACCCATCAGCGTGGCCAGCAAGGCTCATGCTAGACAAGCTACAACAGCCCCCAGGTGGACACTTAAACAAACAAACAAAACCCAATCTTGGGTGCGAGCAATTTAATGGAAGCACATGATGGCAACAAGATGGTTTTGCAGATGGCAGATGGCGGCCTGGGTCACTTACGGGTACTAACTTCCAATACCACTTGGAGGGAGACTGCTCAGGAAGCGGGAAGGAAGGTGGAAAGGAACGTCAGCACTGCAGGTCCAGGTGTGGCTGTGACACACATGCTCACACAGAATAGGTAGAGACAGCCTCTGGTAGCAAAGGCATTCCAGTGTACATGACCTCAGCTAAACACAATACCAGGTAATTTAACTGGAAGGTAACCTGTCTCCTTTACAACTCTATGCTTCACAACAGCAAAGAATAGTTCCAAACTTGAGAAAGTCAGGGGACCAGGCTAAAGGTCTGTTTCCTTTGTGGGCCTGTCCTCATCCAAAGATTAGGGAGGCACTCAGCTCCAGCCTGATTCTCTTCTGACCTGGCTGACTTGAGCTGACCAGTGTAGAGAGAAAACCACAAGGCGAGAACACATATTGCTCTCAGCAGCAAAACTGTGTCAACAGTCAGGCACTCCTGGGTACATGCCACTGACTGTGACACATGGCCTTGGCAAAAGAGAAATGGCCAGGGACAAAGCCCAAGCCAGAGTGTGGAATGACCGTACCTATCTGCACCCATCCCAAGGTACACATGTCCCACTGTCTCCAGGCACTAGGCTTTAGATTCCCAGCCTCATGGCACCTCACAGGCCATCTCAAGAATCTGCATGGGCACAGCTGCTAGTGAGCATTTTCTGCTCAATCTCTGACCTTCTGAAGCTCACTCCCAGCACAAGCTACATTGTTTCCTTACTGAAACCCCCAAGTCCTCCCAGAATACCCCTGGTTCAACAAACCATCGGACCTTTTGGGGTTGGGCATAGAAGACAGGTTGCCCATGGCAACACCTAACTGAAGCATGGAGAATCAGCCACCAGGAGAATCTAAGAGGCTGGCTTGCTTAGGTGATAAAAATATAGAATGAGCAAGTAGAAACAGATAATTCTTTAAAACTACTAACATTAACTTAATATCTTGCAAAGAAATTAAAATTACCCTTTACCTTTTGATGAGCAGGACTTTCCAGTGGCTGCTGTTTTAATTTAACTTCTTTCTCTGTTATCTCTCTCATTTTAAGATTTACCTAAGGCAGAAGAAAATGCATTAAGAAGGCTACTACTGTCCCATGTCATCCCTGCATCTCCACTTCTTCTTCAGGAGATCCCACAGCACCTGCTGATCCCTCTTAAGACAGAGGTGCCATCAGGCCAATTACAAAGATGTAGAACACCTGGATTCTATGTGACTCAAGATTTGCTCTGAGTCTCAGGGTCAGCCTGCCCCTGCAAGGAAACCACTGTGCCTTCAAATGCGATTGTAGGACTTTCCTCACCACTGTGGAATCAGGGCTAGACCCCACGTATACTTTACACAGTTGTCTGCTGCCACCCCATAACTATCTACGAAATTCTGGGTCACATCTCATCTGACTACACAAAGTCAACACAATATAAAACTCAGTTATAAAACCCAAGTATAAATCCCTTAAAAAGCATAGATTTGAGTAATTTCTCTTGAAATTAAGATATTATCAAATTTGTATTTCTATTGGGCCAGTGAGACAGTTTAGCAGACAAAGAAGGTACTTGTCACTCCAGCCTAAGTCACTGGAGTTCAATCCCTAGAACCCACATGCAGATGGAGGGAGAACAAGCTCCACAAAGTGTCCACTAACTGCAACACACCTATTGTGCCACATGTGCACCCACACACACACATCATGCACACACACGTACATCACACACACACATATCATACATCTTGTACCAACACATGCATCATGCACACACACATACATCATTCTCACACACACAATGTAATTTCTTAATTTGCATTTATAAAATAACAGCAGGCTTTGTAAAAATACACATTAATACTTAGGAGAGCAATAATAGGTGAAAAAGTGCAGGTCTGAGTGGTTATCATCAAAGAAAAATACAATATGCGAACTCTTTACCTACAACATCAAGAAGGTAGAAAATTTCTTTAAAATTACAATAAAGGAGCTAGAGAGACAGTTCAGTAGTTAAAAGCACTTGTTCTTGCAGAGAACTTGAGCTTGATTTCGAACACTAATATGGCAGCTCACAGACAGACAACTCCACCCCTACATGCGCTTCTGCTCACAATGCCACAGTACATACATGGAAGTCCAGAGGACAACTTGCAGGAATCAGTTCTCCCCTTCCACCAGGCAGGCAGGGATCAAACTCAGGTCATCAGGCCTGGCAGCAAGTACCCTTATCTGATAAGCCATGTCACCCACCAACCTAACAGTCAGATTTTTGAAGGAAAGTAAAGCCACTATTGAAAACTGGGTGAAGTAGCTCATGCTTGTAATTTCAGCACTTGGGAGGTACAGACAGAATATCTGAAGTTCAAGGTCCTTTCAGCTACACAGTCAGTTCAAAATCAGTCTTAGATATATGGGACCCTTTTTTAAAAAAGGAAAACAAAACCATTTTAAAACTACCTGGATGGTGGTAGTGCACACCTTTAATACTAGCGCCCAGGAGTAAAAGTAAATTAAAAAACAAAAACATTAGCTAGTCAGCCAGTCTAGCAAAAAAAAGGTGAATTCCAGGTTCATTGAGCTTTGGGAATAAGGAAAAAAAAATAAGATAACAGACAGACATCTTCTCCTGGTCTGGGTATGTACCTACGCACACACACATACACACATATATACACACAACACATACTTTAAAAAAATTGTATGTCCTTAAAATATCAAGCATCTCTAATTTTCTTATCTTTTTTCAGTGTAGACACAATCAGGGAGACACAATCAGGGAGAACACAAGGGCCAGAAAGCATTGGTCAGCACCACCTCCACAGCAACCACAGTTAGTACAAACAAACAAACAAACAAACAAACAAACAAATGACTGTTGAAAGTAGAAAGAACATAACTGGGTAGAGTTGCCACAAAGAATGAATGTGACAAGGTCAATGTTCTAGAATAAAAGCAGGTCTTCTACCATGAATACATTACTCTGGTCTCAGTACCCCCTGGCAACAGAACAACACAGGGCAGAACCTACAGCAACCCCATAAAATAATGGAGAACTACTACAAGTTCCTGGGAGGGAGGGAGGGGTTTAAAAAAAAAGGATGAGATAAGCAGCCATCAAGCCAGTTGACAGAATTCAAGGACAATCAGAGCAATCTAACTGGTCAACACTCTAAAGACAAGGCAGAAGCTATCCAATGAGTACATGAGAATAGCAAACTTACAGTGTGCTCAAAACTCCACTTAAACAGGAAGACAGCCCAGTAAAAAGGCTGTGTATGGTGGTGCACACCTTTAATCCCAACACTCAGGAGAGCAGAGGCAGACAGAGCTCTGAGTTCCAGACTAGCCTGGTCTACACAGTGAGTTCCAGGACAGCCAAGGCTAGACAGAGAAACCCTGACTTGAAAAAAACAAAATAAAATCCAAAACACAAAAATGTATCTGGAATGAATTCTCTCCAAATACTAAAAATTAAAAACAAAGTCTTTTCAGATAACCCACTGATAAAACAAGAAATCACCAAGATTGATTCTATTTTAAAAGAAATGCAGCATACTCAAGAACACAAGACAGAGCAAAGCTCTGCTCAGAGGGAGAGCACCACCTTGTACCTCATACACACGAAGCAAAGAAAGTTTGAATGAACTAGCTCTCTACCTTAACAACAAATGAAGGGCGTGTGTATGATGCTTCCACTAGCTAGAACACTTTATTTTGTTTTTAGTTCAGTGCTGAGAACAGAACTAGACAAGCATCTCTGTCACTGTGTGTCACTCCTAGAAACAAGGTCTGTCTGCTCTCACCACAAAGAGAATGAATGCTTGAGATGCTGGATCTGACCATTATGTGATGCTGGAACATCGTACCACACTGCACAAATACACTCAGTTGCTATGTGCCAATAACATTTAAGAGGTAAACATTGAGGAACTCAAGGCTAGCTTGGTCTAAAGAGTTAAAACCTGTCTACAGACAGACAGACAGACTAAAGATGAAATGAAAACCAAAAAAAAAAAAAGAATAAAAAAAAAATAAACAGCACAGATATGCAATGTTCTGAAGATAATAAAGTTGGTAAACTAGAAAAAAAACAAGGAAGAAAGTCATGATCGGAATTAGGAAACAAAGACAGGGTCACCAGAAACTGCAGATACATTTACCTGAAGGATAAGCATCAATAAACTTTACGCTAATAACAACCTAAAAGGAACTCTGTAAAAGCCACAAATTATCAAAACTGACACAAAATTAGATTAAAAAATCTAAATAACTTAAAAGTATGTATAGAAGTTTTCACAACTACACATACACACACACACATACACACATACTACATCTCCAGGCCCAGATAGCTTCACCAGCAAGACCAAAGATTTCAGAATTAAATGAAACCAATCATATTCAAATTACTGCACAGAACAGAAAAAGAAAAACATCTCATATTTCTTTTGAGTCTAAATCACCCTAATATCAAAACAAAAAAAGAAATGCATTAGAAGAAAAAAACTGCAGACAGTTCTGTGGGTTCTGAGGCTCGGGGCAAACAAGGTACCCTCTTCTACCACTTCTACTCCACATCCCACAAGAGAAAGGAAACACACTTTTTAATTTAACTGTATTTCTATTGATTAGCAACAAGCAACTGGAAATGAAACTAAGAAACACCACTTACAGCACAACTCAAAACACTGAAATTAAATTTCCCTGGGGATAATTAATGAACAAAAGTGTGGCAATGAACTGCACGCCTCACAGAGTAACAATAAAGCCACGGCCCCACTGATCTAGATCCCTACAAGTGCTTTTCGTAGAAACCAACAAGTTGATTCTAAAATTCATGTGAACAAGCCGACAACCAACTAGAGCTAAAACAACTCTTCCAGTTCAAAGCCACGTATTGTCTAAATTCAAGTCAGTATCACAGAGCACTGTTTATATGAGCTTACAGTCACTTCAAGTTACCATGGCATTAGTCACAGGTCAGTGGAGAGGGAGAGTCTAGAGACACGCTCGCATGTGCAGCTCGACTAGGTCCCAATAGAGCCACTGCCACAGTAACGTGCAGAGGGAAAAAAAAAAATCTCTGCTTTGGGGAGTCTCCAACTGCTCTCTGTGAAAAAAACAGGGCACGTCATACCTTCCCTGACTCGTACATAGTGTATAAACTCCAGGCGTATCAGAAAGCTCAGGGGAAGAGCAAAGGCCACCAAACCAATAGGAGGAAGAAAAGGAGCAAACCCTTGAAGTCTTGGGGAAGGGCAGAAATCTCTTGGCAAAAAAAAAAATGTAAACTAGTCTTTAAAATTCCAGAAACCTGTGCTTTGGGACAGCAATTACTAAGAAATGGTAAAAAGTCAAAACTATGAAAAGAAAGTCACAACATACATTCCTAACAAGATACATACATATTCTTCCAACTATATTAAGATAAAACACAATTTAACACAGGTTTAAACCAAGAATGATATTACTTACTTGTAATCACAACATTCAAGAAACTGTTTAAAGAAAGACCAAAAGTTTAAGGCCAGCCTAGGCTTCACAGAGTCCCAAGCCAGTTTCAGCTACAAAGGAAGACTATCTCAAACATACACACAAAATAAATAAATGAAAGTTCTGTAAAAGATTCAAACAAGGACTTGCAAAACGAAAAACATGAGAATCTGTTACACAAAAGGCCCCAAATCAAAGACTGTAGATAAAGTAGATAACAGTTAGAACCAAAAGATTCCTATTCTGTCCCTGAATTCAAAGGTGTTCCCTTTGAAAATATTCTGGCAGGCTTTTTCTAGAAACTTAAGTAAATGCTGGATGTGGAAGAAGACTTTAGTCCCAGCACTTGGTATCAGAGGCAGTTGGTGAGTTCAAGGATAGTCTGGTCTAGAGTGAGACCCAGTCAAAAGAAGAAGAGGAGGAAGAAGAGGAAGAGGAGGAGGAAGAAGAGGAGGAAGAGGAAGAAGAGGGAGAAGAGGAAGAGAAGGAGGAGGAAAGAAAAAAAAGACGTATGTTAGCATACACTCATCTGACACAGCAATTCTGCCAAGTACTCAAAGAAAGAGCAGCAGCATCCAGACACATCCAAATGCCCCCGAAACTTTATTCAAAATAGACAAAAGTCTAGGTGGGAAACACCTAGGTGCCAATCAACAGATGAATGACAGACAAATCATGACACAATCATATAAAGAAATTCTATAAGGCATAAACAAAACTAAACTACTTATAGATACATTTGGTTTAGTGAAAGAAGCCAAGTACAACATTTTAAGTAAAACCTGGATGAAGCCAAACTAATCCCATTAAGAAAGCAGGTAAGTGTGAGCCTGGGCCTGGGGAAGATACTAACTGCAAAGGAACCCAAAGCAGCACTGAGCATGAGAGAAGAGCTGCCGTGACTGTTGTGGCTGTTAAAAGGGCATCATTGCTGATTAAAACTAAGGAATCACCACACGTAGAATCTAAGTTATGTTTCAGCAGAGTGAAGATTTCTTTGTTTTTTGTTTTGTTTGCTTCCCCCCCCCCCACCCCCGAGACAGGGTTTCTCTGGGTAGCCCTGGCTGTCCTGGAACTTCCTCTGTAGACCAGGCCGGCCTCAAAATCAGAGATCCACCTGCTTCTGCCTCCTGAGTGTGGGAGGTGTATACCACCATCACTCAGCTCAGTAGAGAGTTTTAAACCACAGATTATCAGTAAAATTTTGAAGATGACTCAGTAGGTGAAGTATGTGCTGCATAAGCATGAAGACCTGAGTTCAGATCCTCAGCATCCACAACAAAACAAAACTAAACTCTGAGTACTTGACATGGACACAGGATGACCTAGGACGTGCTGGCCAGGCATTCTAGTCAATTAGGGAGCTCTATGTTCAGTGTGAACCCCTATTTAAAAAAAAAAAAAAAAGACTTGGGTGGCAAGACTTTTGACCTCTTTTACTCATGCCGGTACACATAAACACACATATATGCATACAAACACATATATGTTTATAACACACTCACTAAAAAAGTTAAAAGATCTATGTCTGTATATCTGCCCCAGGACTTAGGAGGCAGGAGAATCAAGAGTTCAAGGTCATCCTCAACTACATAGCCAGTTCGAGGCCAACCTGGGCTACCTTTCTCTAAAAAGGGGGAGAGGGATCTCAGTGGGTAGATGAAGTAGTTGCTAAGCAAGCATGAGGAACCAACGTTTAAAATCAGGTGTTCTAGTTACAGTTTCTGCTGTGATTAAACACCGTGAACAAAAGCAACCTGGGGAGGAAGGATTTATTCCATCTTATACTTCCAGGTATACATCACTAGGAACTTCAGAGCAGAACTCCAGCAGGGAAAGAACCTGGATGCAAGAACTAAAACAGTGGCCATGGAAGAATGCTAAGCACTAGTTAGCTCTCCCTGGCTTGCTCTGCCTGTCTTCTTATAACCCTAGGACCACCAGCCCAGGGTGGCACCGTCCACAGTGAGCTGGGCCCTCCCTGAACAGTCATCAATAGATAAAATGCACTAGAGACTCGTCTATCAGCCAATCTAGTGAGGGTATTTTTCAAGTGAGCCTCTTACAAAATGACTCTAGCTTATGCTAAGCTGCCCTAAAACTAGCCAGCACAGCATGTAAACCCAAACACAGTAGCAATTTCAGTGCTCCTACAGCAAAATGAGGGGTGGACCTTCTCTCAAACAAAGAAGGCAAAGACCAACACCTGAGATTTTTTTCCACAGGCTTGCCATGGCATGTGCATACCTATACTCTCACAGGTACACACTGATACACAGACAGACACAGGAATACATAGGACACTTGCTTTCTCCCCAATAACTATCAGCAAAGATCACAAACAAACACTATACATAAGTACCTAAGATAAAAATGAAACCCATTAGCTGTGACCACACACACATGAACATTCTCATACACAAACCTATCTTGCTCAACCCTCAGTGATCAGGAGTAAGGACTGTCTGCTAATCTATTGGACAGCTAGCTAGATAAAGTATCATGCAGTCCCAAATGACAGACTTTAGTGGTCAAGTCCCATTATGGAAAACAAGAAGAAGGCAGCTCTCGATCAGGCAGAGAGCTAGACAGGCACTCACCTTATTGATCCAGAATACCATGGCATCCTCGAGGTCATAAGGAAGCTCTTTTGAGGCGCTGAATGTAGAAAAGCGCTTGACGCTGGCCACCACCTTCTCAATGCTGATCATCTCCACGGTGTAGGCCATCATCAGGGCATCCACCATCGCCATGTGGCCACTCTGGGGACAGAGGCAGCAATCAGCTTCCTAAACATCTTGCAGGTCCCAATGCAAGAAAACTTTCAGCCTTGCCTTCCCTGCAAAGGACAGCACTGGCTGTGGTCTGCCCACCCCCGGCCTGTTCCAGCATGCAGTAATGGTTCATTGTCCTCAACTCTTGCCAGCAGACTATAAGTTTCCTCTGTAGCCCTGGAAAAAAAGCTGTGAGAAGAGGCTGCCCGCTTCCTCTGCCTCCAAAGGCTCTGGGATGGCACCAGGGCTCTCCTTGTATCACACTCTTCCTTCAGTCTCTTCAGAGATTTTCTTCACCCACACATCACCCTTAAACTGAGTGAAAACAGCCATAGTATGTAAAATGCCTGGGAACAAGCTAACAAGAGCAATGCAAGGACATCATGGAATAGGTGCTGGGCTAATAATCTGCAGAGGCACAGCCTCTGAGGACAGGGCAACAGATTCTGGCTGAGTGCAGCTATCCAACATGAAGGCTCTGCAGTGGTCTGCCATACATATCTTCACAATGAGAAGAAAACTCAAAAGCAAGCTGCTTTTGCCAGAATGATGGCATTCTTTAAAATGTAGGCCTGTCACTATGGTCCACCAATACACATAGGTAAATCTCACCATCTGTTACCTGACAGCAGGGCACTGAGTCTTGCCTGCTCAGCCAAGGGAACAGAAGGAATGCCTGTCAGACACTCACCATCTTAATAGGTGCCTGGCTGAGGTCAGCATCTGTCACAGGGGTATCGTCACTCTCCATCACATAGATGCCCTTCCGGGACAGGGCCTGGATGACAGACTGGTGTCCTTGCAAGGTAGCCACCTGGTCCCCTTTTAGGATGAGGCTGCAGACACGGCAATACAGCTCACTGGACAGGAGAAGCTTTATAACGGGTGGCTTAATGTGTTCCTGCTCATACTGGTCGATATAAAACGGGTCTCGGAGATCCTCAGGGATGTTGTCTACAGCAGGAGAGAGCACTGGGTGAGTGGGCATGAACAGTCCAGTCTCAAGCATCACCAGCCAAATGAGAACACACAAAATCCCAACCAACGTACAGCCCACAATCAACACACAAAGATCTAGAGCCAACTAACAGCCTCATTAGCATGACAGAGACAATGTGGGGCATTTTTACAAATGCCAGCATCATCTGAACGATGGTGGGATGCAAGCACAAAACTCCCGGGATGCTAGAGGGCTCAAAGGAACCAAGATGTCATGGGACTGGGATGATGCAGTGTCTGGTAACCCCCAAAAAGGAGCTATGATACAATGACATTCATTCTGGGGAGGGAGCTCTTTGGGCCTTCTTTCCAACCAAAGTCAAGGTCAGGTAACAAGTAGATACCCAACAGCTTTTGTTTAGGAAGCAAGCCAAATCTGCTGCCACTATAGCCACAACAGAATAATGGCAAGCAGCTTTTAGTTATCTATGGTTCAGGGAGCATACTGTTTAATCACAATTCTAGTGAATCAGGAGTAATGACTAATGTGCCCATATTACAGACTAGAAAACTGAAGCACAGAAAAAGGATGTAGCATGTCCAATGTCACAAAAGACAGGACCCAACTACAATCTGGTCTTTGGTACACTCACTGCCTACAGCAGATACATCACCAGACTGAGCAAGCCAGTAAGCAGCACCCCTTCACAGCCTCTCCGCATCAGTTCCTGCCTCCAGGCTCTTGCCCTGTTTGAGTTTCTATCTGACATCCTTCAATAATGAACAGTGATATGGAAATTTAGTAATTTCCATAAAGTAAACACTTCCTTTCCTCCCCACCTTGCTTCTGGCTGTGGTGCTCCATCAGAACAAGAGTACCCCTAACTAGGACACCATCCACACTCCTCTAGCCTGTGCCAGGTACAGAACCACACTGAGAAAAGGTCAGCTTTTCAGGGGCTGCTTCCTCCTGCCCCAGCATCCTCTCTCTTGTTTGTTTCTGAGCTTAATGACATGTGAGTAAGACAAAGAGAGGAGAGGAGCCACACCACACTTCAGAATGAGAAGCCCCACAGGATAGAGCTGAGAGGCACAGAGCACACAAGCCAAAACTCTAAGATCTGGCTCTGAACTGCTAAAAATCAAGCAAGGATCTGAGCTAGGGAGGCCAAGTTCCAAATTTGTTTTGCTGCCAGGAAAAGGAGACAGAAGTCACCTGAGGCCTGCACCTTCTTTAAGTGTCTAGTAGAGCTACCATCTACCTAACTTCCAGCCCATAACTTCTTTCATGTTCAAAATTCCAAGAACACATTTTATTTTACTCCTAGGAGACTTTACCTACCTTGAGACTTGAAAAAAAAAAAACATGGATGTGTGCCTACCCAATATGTATTATAGCCCCAGCCCTCTGAATTACGAAAATGACAGTTCCATGTGATGCCTGGAATACCTCAAGCCGTATTGGCTGTCCAAGCCCCTCTCCCCTCTCCCCTGGATACCAGTAAGGTTACTCTCTAAGAGCAAAGTAGCACAGCTCAGGAAGGACCCCGCAGAGTCTCACTGTTACAGGAAAGGAGAGGATGGTACACCACAGAAGCACAACCAAGAGCTGGCGTTTGACAGATACAGGGAAGTCCAGGGAGATGCAGAAGTTCACAGACACAGTATAAACACATAAGCAGCCTGAACTTGGAAGCTAACAAGACAGGAAAAGGCAGCCAGGCCAAACATCCAAGAGGAAATGTTTCCCTGGGCCACTTGCAAACAATCAACCTAAAATGGTTCATGTCATTGGCACATTGGATTGGATCCTGTACAAATACTCATTCTGAACACTTCAGATTCATGACAGAAAACCAGAGCAATTATGTAGGTAGACTACAAGCCTAGATGTAGCAGAGTTACCACACCTGTGAGCACCTTCCAATCCAGGCTTAGGATGCTTCAGCCCACTCTGCAACAGAACCTCTTCTTGTGGCCCTTCAGGGGAGAAACTGTCCTCAGCTCAGTAAGGGAGCTCCACTCCTCCCAGTCTACCATGACAGGGAATGTTCCAAGATAATTCTCAACTAAGTCCATGTCAGAAGCTATGTTTGCACACATCTATTTAATAACTAAGCAGTCAGTAGTTGCTCTTTTAAAAAAGCAACAAAGGCTACAGAGATGACATACATAATTTTAAGATGATGATGATGATAAAATACTACGAAACAATGCAAAGGCATTGTAAATGCATTCTGAATCTGTTTCAGGTGACTATTTCTCTACAAAAGACAAAGACAGTAGTCTGCAAATCACTCATTCAACAATTATTGAGTACCTGCATGATCCAGGAAATGTATGAATATGCTAGGCAACCAAAAGGAGATGAAAGGCCATCACCCTCAGCAAAGGCTCTGAGACTCTGAAGAGGACACAAAAACAGTAGGCAACTTCCATGACAAGGAGCATCACATGGGAGTGTGCACAGAGCCCAGCTTAGGCAAACAAGAAAAAAAAAAACATGACAATGACTCTTATCAGACAATTTAAAGAAATAATACAGTCCAGAACAGTATAAAAGAAAAGCAAATGTGATGCTTCACTAATTCATTCAACAGGTCTTCAACTGAGCATGTGCTATGTGTACTGTGCCTGTGGTGGGACTGTCAGTGGATTTATATACTCTGAAAGCAAAGAAAAGGATAAGTTACAACAGGCTGAGTTAGGAAATAATGTCTGCTGCTGCTTCCTGCACAGAAGAGTAGAAGTCAGGCCTGGACACCAGCCAGTCACAGGACCTGTTACTAAATTAGGAGCTATTGCCCAGAAGATGACCACGGTATTAGGAGGAGCCATTATGGACCAACACACATCAGGGATAAGCACACCACAGCCTCTCTGTACAGTGTACCTTAGGTGTGAATGCTGAGCCTCTAGTCAGAGAGAGTGGGGAGGGATTCCAAAGCAGAAGGGAAGGTATGTCAGATGTCAGGTCTGTATACAATGTCCTGGCCACCTCAAGAGACCCATTTGCTAAAACTCACTACAACCAGAATTGCAACAACTGTGAGAGCTTCAACACAGCGCTATGCTATGACATCAGCCACTGGCCACATCAGCTACATGGCTTATACTTATAATACATACTAGAGCTGAGACACGAGGATCCTGGAGAGTTCAAGGCCAGTTCAAGAAGCCTAGGAAGACTAGCAAACTCAAAGAAAGCCAGGCTCAGGTACCCTGACCCTGAGCACAGAAGTGATAAGCCAAATTGACAGCCAAGGCAGAAAATTTTAACAAAGAAAAAGTGATAGACTAGAAAAGAACAAAATAGAAATTCAAGAACAATAACAACAACAAATGTATGTAAGTATATACTTAAATATATTTACATATATACAAATACAATCACTGAATCTGTGTTATAAAATGAACTGTTGAAAGCAGATTAACATAGTTGACAGGCATGGTGGCACACAGCTTTAGTCCCATCACTCGAGAGGCAAAGGCAGGTGAATCTCCGAGTTCAAAGCCAGTCTGGTCTACAGAGCGATTTCCAAGTCAGCCAAGACTACACAGAGAAACCATGTCCAGAAAAGGCAAAGCAAAACAAACACTTAAGAGATGAAGATGTGTAGAAAATAAGTATCCACAACCAACAGTGAGACAATGTGAAGAAGGCAGAGAGAACTGGTAGCAAAGGCTGTCAGACCACAAAAAGAAACTGCAGACCCAGAAGAGAGCATGAACATGGTAGAAGGATGTTTAACCAGACACTGCAGAGAATTTTTCAATACTTATAAAATTTATGAAACCACTAAAAATGCCAGCAAGACTAAAAAAAGAAAATCCACATCCAAAAACCACTAATGACACCAACAGGATCCAAAGGCAAATATGCTAGAGGGGGTTGCTGGTCAAGCCAAGGCAGCAGACTATCCCTGCTTGCCTTTCTATGCAGAGGCAGCTACAACCCCTGAAACACATAAAAGACAAGCAAGGGCACTAGAAAGTGAAGAGGAAGGGTGCTGGTGCTGGCTTGGACCTCACACTGCAGGACAGTAGTAGAGAGAGTCACATCCCCACCAAGGGCAGGCCTGGTGCGGATCAACAGGAGGCCCCACTAACAATAAAGCAGCAGGGGATATGGGAATACTGTGGGGCAAAGGAATTCTTCCTTTTCTGGCCTAAGATACTTTCCTTAAAGCCAAAACCATCATGGACCAAGGAACACAACAAATAAAGGTCTCACCAAGAGCACCTGGCAGAGAAGATATTCTCCCTCCCTGCTGGTTATGAAACTCTCTCCCTACACAGATGAGGATTCTAGTAAAGGGAATCCAGCTGTTACCAGAGGCTTGTGGGTATAATTCTGAGCCCTGGCATCCCCAGCAAGCTAGGTTTAGCTGCCATCCTCAATACATCAAGTAATGAGATAGTAAGAATCAGAAAAAGGCAATTTATTCATGTGGTCGTCTTGGGAAAAAAAAATAAGTCCATCCTCTGGGTGCTGACATGAGATTTAAGCTTAAAGAAAGGGCATGATTAATTAAGCAGTTCTGGTCAAAGAGTGACTCTGGCCATCACTGGCCAATCACAGCTTGGTCCTGTAAGTTGTTAAAACTGTGTGTAATCTCTTCCTGAGAGGCAGAGATAGCCAACCATAACCAGCAGTCTTATAAGCAGAATCCCACCTACTCAGCCTGGGAAGTTCCTCTTGCCCTTAATGAACAGCAGCAGGGACCACACCCCAAAAGTAGACTAAACCAGATGGTCAAGGCTGGGCACAGGGCCCGCTAGAACCATTGCTAACCCTGAAGCTCAAGTCTACAAGCAAACCCATAGGATACTTACTGGCTGCTAAAGTAAGAGTCCAAGAGCCCTGCCTCCTAGGAATCTTCTGAAATCGCCACTCAAATTCAATGAATGAGTAACACACACCAAGATGCATCAAGTGTTGAAGCATCTCTGACATTTGAAAGTAGCCAGCACAAAATAACTGCAAGAGTCAGATACTCTGAAGCAAACTAGAA